CTAAGATGGCAGCAGAGAAGAAAGACAACCCTGATTCGGATTTGTATGGAGGTGAGGGTGCGTCTGGTATGCTTGAATACTATCCGGAGCCTTTACCGCAGACCTGTATGATGACGGGTTTACCATCCCGTTGGACGACGACGGCCAAACATCAAGTGAACCCTTCGAGCTTCTAATACCGGACGATGACCAGACGCTTTCCGAGTCTACGGAAAAGCCACTGTCAGCAGATAGCAACTGCCTTCCTGCGAAGCCTTCATCCACGTCAGATCCGTCTGGTCTGTCGTATTCTGCGCAGGTCGCGAAGCAGTTCTCTGCGTACCAGCAGACGCCGAGTCAGGAACGACAACAACGACATGCTCTTCCCGCACCCGGACCATCTGCCATCGCTACTCATGAAACTGACCGTTCTCGAGCTGACCGGCCGATACGGCCGTCGGAGATGAAGGACGAAGGGTAAGCAGTTTACCTCGCTTCTTTTTACGCGATAACAGCTAGTATGGAGCACTGGCTCGTATCGTTGGGCAACCGTAAGCACGTTCGGTGGATTTGTCCGGAAAGGATACATGTTGTATTTTGCCCACGCTAGTATTTCGACCTTGGTGAACGTACGACACTTAATACCGTACATGCGCCTCCTTTTAATTCTGCTCTACTAACTGGTTATATCTATCGAACTAATCCGCTGCTTTTTTTTTCGCTATGACTCTTACACATTTACTGGCCCTCCCTGGTCGCTAATCACTTACGTGTCGCTTTGACGATATCACTCTGGACACCCACCGACAAACTACTTCACCTCACTGCACTCCTACTCTTACTACTCGTTCTTGCCTACGGAATCTTCCTCGGTTAGCAAAATGTTCATCGGAGGACTTAGCTGGGACACTACAGATGGTATACGCTCTACCCGTATAGAATTACTTCTTGTCGAACTAACAACATCCCCTGTCCGAGTAGAAGGTCTGAAAAAGTACTTCTCACTGTTTGGCAAGGTGATTATACGATGCGCTTTCTCGTCAGGCGCTCGTTTCTCCGTATGAAGAGCGAAACTAACACCTGTTTCCTCACTGAGGTGGATGCTTGCACAATTATGCGTGACCCCGACGGAAGGTCACGAGGATTTGCGTTCCTAACGTTCGAGGAACCAGAATCCGTAAATGCCGTCCTTGCGCAGGAGCACACGCTGGACGGGAAAACCGTTGGTCGAACTATGTTCCATATCTGCGCCAATGGTTGACATCATCCTTTTTGTTGCAGATCGACCCTAAGCGGGCGATACCACGGGAAGAACATTTAAGGAATACGCGGTATTTTGTAGGCGGACTCTCGCACGCCACGACTGCCGATTCTATGCGTGACTTTTTCTCTACTTATGGAAAAGTCGTCGATGCCACGGTTATGGTCGACCGCGAGACCGGTCGATCTAAGGGCTTCGGATTCGTGACGTTCGAAGACTCGAGCAATCAAGAGCGATTCGTTGGTAAACTGGGACTCGTCTTGGATGATAAAGAGGTCGGGATCACCTTGTGTATTGCATGTTTTATATGGGGGATCTGACGGTCTGGAACATTTCTGCCAGATCGAGGTGAAGATGGCTCAACCCCGGAGCCAGCGCGATCAAGCACGGAACGCGACGACTCGCGACGGGTATGGTGATCAAGAAGCGCGTCATTCAGCTGTGACGCCCATGACGTTCAACCCGCAGCAGGCTGCGAACCCAGCGACGTCGATGATGTACCAGCGCATGATGAACCAGATGCCTATGGCCAATGGCGGGGGCGGATCTGTGGGAATGATGAACCCGATGATGATGGGTATGGGTATGGGTATGGGAGGCATGAACATGGGTGCCACGGGTATGGGGATGGGGATGAACAATCTTGGTGCTATGGGTTTGGGCGGCATGGGAATGATGGGAGGTGGTGTGAACCCAATGATGGCGATGAACCCGATGGGCATGCGTATGGGGATGGGTGCACCGATGGCTATGGGCATGATGCAGCCCGGTGCGGCTGGAGGAATGGGCATGGGCAATGTCGGCATGAGAATGAGGCAGGGCATGGGTATGGGTATGGGAGACATGATGGGTATGAATGCGCATGCAGGAGCGATGCCGATGAGTTCTGGTCCAGGTCCCTCCAGAATGCCGAATCGCGTGCGGTTTCACCCGTATGCTCGGTAGGAACGAAGGGAAGCGTCTCCGTAAGATGCTCGCTCCGTTATTCTGTACTATATATCCTGCCTTAGTTCTGTGATATCTGGCTGCTGTATATCGAGGCTAATTATTTGCGATGTGTGTATGGATGGGACTACTAATATGTAGCGAGTCTTAAGCCAACCATCCTCGCATTTTTGCAACTGATCTCAAAATGTCATCTGCGTTCTCAGCGGCCAAGTAGTCTGCTCGCCCTTCTTCGTCTCCTATCGAAACACACGTTCTCCAACGTTCCAAATCCCCTTCTTCCACACCAAGGGCACGAATGATAGTTGACAGGTAGCCCAAGTCGGCCGCAAGCTGAGCAGAGCCAGCAGAAGTCAATACCCTGATTTGTGGCAGGATATTCCGGGTCAAGTGCGCCAGCATGTTTCTCGCAAGAGAGGAAAGCCACGCAGCCGTAACAGCCTCTGGGGAGTGAAGTTGCTCAGCTTGAACTGCGCTCGAATCGTCCCCTTTAGCCAAGGCTCCAATCTCAAACCCAAGTGCATCGTCCTCCGCGTAGACCTCAAATAGTCTTGGAAGGTTAAGTAACCCATCCCCAACGCGTTGAATAGTTTCGCTAGGGCTCAAAGAGAATGCCGGGATATTGACACCTGCGAGCCCTGGAACGAGTTCTTGGCGCGATGCGGACCAGAGGGGCAGTGAAGAGTATGCATTGAGATGTACGAAAAGGGGAGAGAGAAAAACACGTTGTAATGTGCGTTGGTTGGCACGAGCGAAGGACGTGAGGGAAGAATGACTTGAAGGTAGCAAAACGGGAGCCACAGCTGAGGATCCCGTAGACTGCGACTGCAGGACCTGAGAAAACAGATCCCTCAATTCCACAGAGTTTAAGGTAGACTGAGCTAGTAATATGCCTTCTCCTTTCGTTACCCCAGGGGTATAAAGTCCGTTCACCGCGGCACGGAAGGCCATAGCCACTTGGTTCAGGGCCCCTCGGAGGCGTGTTTCGAATACTCCAAGACGTTCCTTGACAGCTTGCGCAGCGGCAAGAAGATGCAAAGCACGCTGGATATGCGCCCAATCCTGTGACGTATAATCCAAATCTGCAAACTCTTCGTCCTCAGCACCGCTATACGAGAGGGCATTAGTGCCTGCTTCAGAGCTTGCGTTCGCCCAGTCGATGACACAGTTTGTCCATGCGTCCACAAAGGCACTTACACAACCATCGAGTACGCGCACGAGACCGACAGACGCGTACCCGTGGGTGAAGGTCATGCACCTCTCGATACTCTCCTCAGCAGCACTGAATACATCGACGGCGCGCTCGCGCATCACACGAGCTGCGCGATCGCCATCCACAACACCCTGTAACGTGACAACGGGTGGGCCAAGCGCTTCGTCCAGTAGTCGTCTCTCTAGGGTGCCGAAGTCAACCTGGAAATCAAGGAAAGGCTGGAAGAGGCACTGATCCCACTCCATAACGTCAACCACACTTATCCCGCTGGAGCCACTTTGTTGCTTAGCTGAGCCAGAGATGCTGCTTGTTGACCGCCACGACATGGACATGCGCATGGAGCGTCGCCGGGAGAGTTTACCCTCACTTGAAGATGATGGGGATGCGACGGAGATCGCAGACGGAGCAGATGCGCGCAGTTTCTCCATGATCCTTTCCGTCCCCTTGGCGAATTCCTCCGTAACCTGAAACAGTTTCACCATGTCCTTCAAGGCAGAAGCACCCCCACTGCCATGGAAAAGCGCCGCGAACCGTTGACCCGGTGAAGGTGTGAGGGCGGTGAGCGTGTTGTGGATGAGGAATGCTAGAGTAGACTCCGGATCAGGAAAGATGGCTGGAATGGAGTGGCGTTCCCCATTGAGCATGGACAAGAACGAGGAGAGGAACGTTGGATAGAATGAAGTTAGCTTTTCTGGGGCCGGGTGGTGCTCCGAAGTTCCGGTGGGCATTGATTCACCGTCCAAGATTGCTTGATTCCACGTTTCCACTATTGCGATGCGCCGTGTTCCGTAGTAGTAGTTCCTAAACTCACTTTCACGCTCAATGTCGACGAATATGGCGTAGAGTGATTTGCATGACTCAACGTCATTGGCAGTGACGGCCCGCACTAGATCAGGTGAAACCGCAGCCTCAAGTTGGTTGGCAAGAGACGTCAGTAAGGCGCGACGAGGTTCCTGTGCCGTGCCCGGGGTACCTGCGGCTGGGCGAGACACGGGCATTAACTTGGCTGACGCCGATAGTCTGGAAGCGGCGCGAGCATATGACTTTTCTGCCAAAAGAGTCGTAACTTCTGCTTCGAGTGCACCCCAGGATTCAGCTTCACGCAGGACATCCCGTGCGGCTTCCATGCGCGTTTTTATGGTGTCTAGATAATGCAATCTCTCTAGGACCTTGGACGTTGCGTCAAAGTGACCCGGTGTAGTGGCTGAGGGGTTGTCTGAAGGAATCGATTGTGCCAAGACGCTCTTGAGTGCGAGTGCACCATCACGGGTGAAATGAAGGTCGTATACCAAGCGGGGTGTTGCACGGGCAATGTCGTCAATGGTGTTCTCCAGAGCGGAAGATGTGGACTGAGCTGCGATGGACGTTGCAGTCAGGAGTGCATCGAGGGAGGCTCCATCGGTAGTTGCCTCCTGTCCAGAGGAATCTAAGGCGGCATTCAGCCATGTCAAGACGTCCGGTGATCGGTCCAGCTGCTCGATGACCGACGCTGGAGAAATATCCGTCAAAGGCTCCATACTGTGTACGACAACGAGCTGTCGAGACATGTTGGGAATTGCCTGGCACACCCTCGTCATGCGTAATGCGGGCTAGCGTTTCAGTTCGGATATGGTGTAACGGCTAACATTGCCGCCTCTCATACCTCAACGCGGCAGCTCGGGGTTCGATTCCCCGTATCCGAGTCTGTTTTTTTTGGGGGGGGTTGACTTAGTAGGACATGTGGATGGATCGAGACTTCAACGTGTTGCTGTTTCATGCCTACTTCCACCTGCACAATCCACCTAACTCGAGTTGCGGTCACCGCTGGTGCACTGCTTGTGTAACATCCAAGTCAAATCCAAGTACCATGTTCTTCACAGAAAGCTGCACGAGGCCCCAGTGGGTGTTGGCAGGATGCGACTTAAATATCGCCACATAAACCTAACCCTGCCGTTGGCACTGTTACTGGTATCCATGCTATACGTTGGCCATGACATCAGAAAAGGAAAATTGTTGACGGCGTTCATGTTGGTTGGGTCCCTCATCCACCTATCTGTGACCGTGAAATTTTAAGGTGAGCGGCATCGGTAATTATGTACCAGGCGACACTTCACGCCGGAGCTGAAAAGCGGAAGCTGTCTCAGCCACTTAGAGCATATCCTAACAGAGGGCTGTATGCTCGCCTCGCAGTGCTCCGCTAAAGCGCTCACACAGCTTGGCAAGCAGGGCGGCCAGCCATGTGCTTGGTCAGGTCAGGCTCCAGCGGACCTACCACCCCGTATACAGCATGGCTAAAGATCTTAAAGGAACTCAGCCTGGCTTCCGTCAGTAACAGCCACAGAAATTCTACACCTGCCATCACCGGGACCTTCTGAGATCGTGGCGATCCCTTCGCTCGCTTGTGTTGTTGCGTTTCGAATTCAAGTACCCTTCCAGTGTTGTGGAGAAGAGAAAGCAAACCCGCCCTGCCGGTTGTACCAGGTAAAGTGTGTCCGTAAAACAGCATAGAAACAACAGAATGAACTAAAACACGTGGATAGCGAGAACGGCATAGCACAGGTCCAAGAAGAACGTTTTCTACTCTCCGTGTTAGATGACCTACACCCTCCAAGTCACCGATAATATTATGAGAGCGGAAGAGAAAAACGAAAGATTCATTCGTTTCAAAACTTTATCAACCCCCAAATATCAGGCCCCAGCGTCCCTACATTGGTTAAAGTGAGCGTTGCGCATATTCTGGCGGGGGAATTCCATCCCGCAATTGTAGCACGCGTACATCCACGCAATGTGCTTTTGTTGAATATGCGGAAACATATTCGTGCCTATGACGTACTCCCTGCAACCGTCCCAGCGACACTTCATCACTCGGTTGTCCGCGTTCGTGATGCCGTGACGCTCGCGCAAATGAGTAGGGAAGTGTTGTCCTGAGATATCGTTTCTGCAGCTCGTAGTATTATCCACCCATTGACACGTGTGGAGCCGGTGCTCTGGTGACGTAGCAATTCTGATGAGCATGAAAGCATCCTGGAAACGGTAAGTTGCAGTAGTCAAATCAACCAGGGCATCCGTATGTCAGAGATGCTTACCTCATCAGTGAAGTCCTGATTGAAGTTGTCGCTGTTAGCGTATGCAGAATTGTTAGACATCTTGGTTGTGTAGAAAGGGAGGTGAGTGGCTTAGTGGAGGGCTACCAGCCCTCCTCCCTTTATACAACAAACTCTCCGCGACAGCTAATGTCGCGCGTGGTAGCCTGTTCTGACCCTGCACAGGATGGCCACCTGATGGCGTCTTGCCAACGGCCTCGCTGTCCAGTTGGTGGGTCTGTGTCCATCGTGAAGCAATATCTCCTCATGCGGATGGTCTCTGCACCGAGCGTCTGTGTGGGCTGAGAAGACGGCATCTCGTCAATGTTTGGGGGCGTGGGACCCCTGAGTTGGCTGAACGACACTGCACTTGGCCAACGAATCGGCCAGCTGAGCTCAGGCATTACATCCTCGCAATTTATCGACCCGCGAGGATCCGATGGTACGCAGTGCTCAACATGCCCGTTATGTAATCGGCTCGGTGCCGATTGACCATCTCCCCCCAGACCAGCCTGTGATGTTTATCCGCTATCATTGCCATGTACGCATACACTATCCAAAGCTCTGCTACCCCGTTTCATGTCCTAACAGCACACGACAATTCAAATAACATGGTTGATGACAGGACATGCGCGACTCAAATAAATGACCCGAATGTAACGTGACAACATGAGTAAGAACGGATGCTACAGGTTCTAATAGTATACATCAGTGATAAATCAGGCAAGACGCTCTAGATGCGTACTTTCTTCAAGACCCTTTCGGCGCTTCCTTGAAGGAAATTGCAGCTTCCTCGCCCATCGCAGTAACGACCGTAACAAGCAAGTCTTTGCCCTCGTCCAAAGCATCCCTGATCTCCTTTCCCAAAGGGTCATCGGGGACCTTGACGTCGTCCTTGGGAGCGCCCTCTGAGTTCAAAAGGCTCAAGAACCCTTCATCAATGTACGTCTGCAGGAACTCGGTAAGGTCACCAGAAGTGGGATGAAATTACCCTTACAAGTTGGTACTCCTTGCGAGATACATTAGGGACGTCCATGTTATGGGTAGAGGGACAGATTTCTTCCTATTTAGCGTAGAAATCAGTATAATTAGTCACCAGAAAGCAATCCCGTACCAATTTCTTGTTAGTGAAGATCTGCCAAAATGCGTCAAAAAACAGAGTACAAGCACAAGTGCATGAATAAAAGGCACATACGTCGATGCCGACGAGGTGAACCTTGGCATGTCCATGTTTTCCTGTCTTGGAAGTGGACATTTCGACAATTTTGCACGGGCGGCCTAAATAACGCTCTCATGATAAAAGCCATCCGGTTCGTAAGTGAAGAGCGCACCCTTTATGACGACATGGCCATTTTTACGCAATGCCGAGCATTGCATAGGGAAAGTGAGCGAGGCGCCTGCACTTGCCTACAAAATGGCATCGAGATATGATCAGATGGCGATCGAAGGGGAACAGGGTGGTATATCTGACCGCCTCGAAGGTCTGGTTGTGCTGCTCATCATCGGACATCGTCGAGGATAAAGACGGATAGGATGGGTGTCTAAGTTGGTCTACACAGGCAGGAAAATAGAGGAGACGAAAGAAGATGGAAAAATAGGAAGAGAAGCGGGAGCGATTTGTTTGATCACACTTTGGATCACAAAAACAACTATCTACGAAAAAAAAAACCTCATCGCGATTGTCTTTCAATCTCCGACACGGAGTTATCTATCGTGCCGACGTGCCGACTCGGGTGATTCGCGATGGCATTCCTCGGTTCAATATCCTTCCTCGAGCCGTGCAGGTCGACACTAATAATTTCGGTGTGTGATGATCAGTTTGGGCTAGACTTTTACACTTTCAAATGGCCCCACAACAACGAGACTGAGAAGTCAAGGGACGATAAACTGCCGTTGGCCAGCTGCACAGTAGAACCGTGCTCAGGGGAAGAGGTGGTATCCTCCTTCTGATGATCGGTTCGCAATACTTCCTGGACACAGCACTAACGCACCACCACACCACGATTCTCTTTATCAACCGTCCCTTTCAAACATGAACCAAAGGTCATTCACTTGGCCAATGGTGTCCGCCACACAGCGGAGCCAAACTATGTCTACCAACTTGGGACGCGGTAATTTACAGTCGGGATTCGCCGAACGCGGCTACACATGAATTGCCATGTGGATAATATTATCTTAGCAACGCTACGCTCACGAGGGAACTACTGTTCGCCGTACTCGAAAAGCAATTGCAGTTACTCCGACCGGCAGCCCTCTGTAACTCCAGCTCTCTTGTCAGGATTCGTCGCCGCGGCTGACTGACACATATAATTCACTGCTTGTGCACCATTATTACGTCTGAGATGCACCCCTTCGGAGGAACCCCAGTTTGTCCGCGGTGCGATAAGGCTGTCTACGCTGCTGAGCAGGTATGGGGTCGTATGGATTCTCCCGCTTCACGTTACACTCATTGCAACCAAACATCGAATTCATTCATCCCAGACAATGGGCCCTGGTCGCAAGGTAAGAAGCTCAGCCAACGACCAACCATTTCATACTCATTTACCGGTGAACGACCATTTTCCGATCAGTTATATCATAAGGCAAGGATCCGTCGTTCCACTTGGCCATTGCATTTAATTCAGGGTGTTGCTGTACGTAGCCATGTTTGTCGTGCACCTCTTGTAGCAAACGTCTAGACTCGTTGACGTTACTGGAACATGACCAAATGGTGCGTGTCTTTCTAGAACGAAACTCTCACCTCTCACTCCTGCACGATGTGCAGCCCTACTGGTGAGCTTTCTTCTAGTAATTGGTGGGGGTCGGGTTGACATTCCCGTTCAAGCAAAACATGCCACGTCCGACTGTTTGGGATACGTGACCTACGACAAGCAAACCTCCCTCACAAAGAGGACCCATCTCCTTTTCCCTTTGCTTCATCGTCCGTTCGCTCGGCTCATGGATCTCTCGTGAATACGCCCACTGGTTCAGTCTCTCCTGTAAGGAGCACATTCTCCACGCCCTTGACACATAGTAGGACATTTGGATCTGCCGATCTATCCACAACTCTAACCAATGGACCCCGTTTGCCTATTCGAGCTCACTTCACTGGTGCTAGTGGTGCAACGCCACTGCTACGTGCCAATTCCAACCTTCCTACACGCTTTAATCGTGCGTCGCCTTCCAGTCCAACCCCTGGCCCCACAAATTCCGAGGCGGGTGAAGAGATCGATGCAGAGACCGCAGAAGCGAATGAGGTACCGGACCACACTGCCATGACATTTGAAGAAAACACCTCTGGTATCCAATGGACAGGAGACTCTCAATCTTTTCCCCCCACATTGCTCAACCAGCCCAAATTTACGTCGGGCTCTTCTGAGCCTTCTGACGGATTTCATGACGTGTCGACAGGACGACCGGCATCGCCGCTCAAACCAAATCCGACAGGGCTCTTCAGTACGACTAATATTACTCCTTTGAGGCAAACTTCCACAGGAACTCGTTATGGAATGGCACTCGGAGGCGCTGGCAGTAGCCCTGTGAGGTCGTGGGGACTAGGAGGTGAAACCCCTGTATGCCCTCGATGTGGGAAGAATGTCTATTTTGCCGAGCAGGTTGGCAACTCCCTGTGAATCTGCGCT